AATTGATTGTCTTTTCTTTCTGTGCGATTCCGTCAAAAACCGGCGAGCGAAACAAAATTTTAAGCCGCGTTGCAATAAAAGGAATTGCATAGATGTGGTGGTGGGGTGCAAGCGCACGCACACACAGCACATACACACGAACACAAACGGAATATGCTTATATGGGAAGCGGGATTAAGCTAACGGCAAAAAATGCGCTGAAAAACTAAGCGCTATACGTCTGTGTGTGCTTTGTATTTGCAATAGTTGCAAAAGCCAACGAATAGAATTTGGCTGAGACATTTCCACTGTGAAAGAAAATAAAATGGCTGAAAAATATTCGGCTATGATAGCCACAACAGAGCCTAAGCAACGGACCAGCGAAACGAGAAGTCTGCAGGAACTAATGGGAACGCGAACACAATGCGTCCACCTAACATAACGGACCAGCTGCAACACCCGCAGCGTTATTTGCAATGCGAACCAAAGGAAGCATATAATGTGTGTGTAGTTGTGCATTTATGTGAGTGAACGAGTGCGCCCTTGCATTTAGGAGTGCGAGACGGTGAAACCGTTACACACGCAGGCACTCACCCGCTTTTGAAACTTGGCTTGGGTGCAGTGGCGCGGCGTGTCGTGTGCTTATGCCTAAATTCAACAGACGCCACAGTCGAGAAAACCAATTTGATGGCCCCTTCGGCCAACACCTTTCGAGGGCTTCGCGTGCGCTAGACTTGCATCTGCATTTGTTGCAGTCAAGTGCAAAAAGTTTTGAAAGTTTGGTGAAAAAGCATTACATCGTCGGCCCCGCCACAAGCCGCTGGGGCGTTTCAAATTTGTGATGTTGCAAAATTCTTGCACCCAAATAGCAACAACCACAACGACGACATTAGAAAGAAAAACTATTGCTATGCAAACAACGCATGCAACACATGCACGTATGTAGGTATGTGTGTGGAGCGGGTCGCAACGTCTGTGCCTCTGTGGTCCAGCGTACGAGTGACAAGCCATGTACAGTTTCGCGTTTAGAAACTTCGCTCCGCGGCCAAAATGCAGAGGAAGTCTGAAAACCCTTCAAGCAACAACTTGCGCACACCAGCGCAAAAACCAGCTACTCACACACTCGCTTACAAGCCCTTCCATATGTGTGCAAGCATGCAGCTGTTTGTGTGCGTGTGTATGTGTGTGATTATCCATGCGCACACTTTCATTTGTATCTATCAACAACAGAAATGGCAAAGTTTCAGCCGAAGCTATGGCAACATTGATGCCTACAGCTTCGTTTTCTAAAAGAACGCCAATTTCATTAGTCGCCAACGCCATCAGTGCCGGTTCGCGTCCATCGACAATAGCACTTGCTATTGGTGGTATCGGCAGCTTCGGCGCCCCTTATCACGTATACGCACCGCGCAACCCCTCCGGCGACTTCGACGTATGCTGTGTAGTGGGTACAACAAGAAAAATGCGTGCGGCCGCAGTCGCCGTCGTCGTATACTTGTCGCCGTTGCAGTCGTGGTCGAACTGTTGTTTTGTAGTCGTCGTCAGTTGTTAGGCATATTTGTAATCGGCAGCAAACATTAAAGCCAATGGAAAATCAACTACTACAACAACATGAGGCGGCAATAAAAAGTTTGCAGCAAGAGAAAAAGTAAAGGAGTCGTGTCTTAGGTGTAATACAGTGGAGCAAAACATGCCTAATCTGCTGATATGTGAGAAAGTATTAGTGAATTTATGAACATGATAAGTTTCAATTAAAATTGTGCCGCGGTCTTTATGATCTCTATTGATCTCACTTACAGCCCTCATTCAAGAATTGACACATACAAGTATTGTATATAACCTTAAGTTTTAGACAGACACTTGTAATCCATCATAGAAAACTTCGCTAAACCAATATGTTAGGTTAGGTTAGGTAATACGAATGATTCCACTTGGACAGCTAGTGACCCCGTACGTTGTGATGCCCAGAACTAGCAGGTATGGATCAAAAAGACATTCGCATAGCGAAAAAACGTCTAGAGTCTGCCGTAAATTGTTTGCTGCACAAATACTCTTATATAATAATAAACTTGAAGTCAAGATTTGTTCCAGCAACAAATTTATATAAATAGCATTTTCAAATAGCTTTGGAACTCAAATCCATGAGATCGTAAGAACCGAAAGAAGGAGGCACAAGCGATGTAATCTGCGGATCGCTACCTTAAATTGGTATCTAACCTTTCAAAACCGGTCGTATAGGTTGTTGTTGTTGTTGCAACTCTGGAAAACTTCCCTGAAGTAATGCTGCCGAGTTGACAGTCCTTGGCCGGAAAAACTCCGGGTACCTTCCGGACTGTTGTGGGAATGGTCCGAATTAGTTTCTTATAGTTGGTTTCTCCTATGGATCTCGGATTAACTGCACTAAGCTAAGACCATTAGTAAATATACGAAATTGTGGACTCGGGGTACAATATATAAATTCTTTTGCCGCAATCCTCTTTGTTTGAAGTCCTAAATCTAAACTTCTCGATTAATCCCAAAAAAAAAATGGTACCCAGTTTTCGTAACGTTTCAGGAGATGTGACTTTAGATAAATAATTTTTCGATTGAACTTTGTCTCACTTCGCGAATATGCTACTTATATACGGAGCGGAGCTACCGCTAACGCCAAGCCGATAGGTCGAAATCCGATTTGCTTGGAACCTTGTTGAACAAACACAATATTAAAGTCATCGAAATCGTAAACTGAGTTATGCAAAAGAAGCGGTTTTGAACGAGTTTAAACGAACTCGCGAAAGCTATGCCTCACCTTTTCCACTTCCTGCACAGCGCCACATATAACTGTATACGGATATACCGGCTATACAGTGGGTGCTGACCACAGATGGTTATTGCCGCGCCTCTTGCTTGATGCAGTCTAAGAACTCGTTCCACTCGCACCTGCACAGTTATAATAAATGGATGTGAGCGCGCGATGAACCAGCAAATTCCCTGCATCCCCACCTATAAATATATATATATATATATAAATATATATGGTGATGTCCGTTTTCTCCAATATATTCTATTTGGCGGCGCCCTCACCACAGACTCAGCAGTTCAGATTCAGTTAGCCCCAACGCGCATACACCCTTACCTTCGTCAGTGCCACGAACGCCTTGAATGGCGCGATTGCCGTCCGCTGCCGTTCCTGCTGCTGCGTCTGGATGCAATAGTCGCATTTTACGTTTTTGAATATTTGCATTTTTGTTGTATCCACAATACATACAACTGTGTTGTTGCAATGCTATTGATGTTGTTCGTGTTTTTGTATGTATGTCTGTGTTTGTGACTACAGCGCGACACGAGGGTTGCATGTGAACGCGCATAATACAAATCGACATCTAAGCGCCAACGCATATATTCACACAAACACATACAAATATATTTACAGGTATGTATGTATGTAGATGTGTAGGCTGTGTATCTGAAGTTGGTAGGCCGGCTAAAGTTTCCAATGCAAATGCTTTCGTTGTCGTTCTTCGCAATATTTCTAGTTAAAGGGCCCTTCCACGCATCGCCGTTAACCACACACACGCTCCTACATACACACATATGTAGACGTGGCGCTGCTCAAATGTCGTTGTTAACGTTTGGTCACCTTCATTGCACTCTCCCACCCGCAACTGCATGCTACACGACACTCTTCCCGCTAAACATTTAACTCCATCGGGCGCTTACTTTGGTCTACGATAACGATGACGATGCCAACGACGGCGGCGGTGGTGGGGATACCCCTTGTGGTGTGGCCAGCTCCCGCTATACACCAACACTCCACCCCTCCAGCGCGCGCATTTGCATCAGCTTCAGTCGCCGCGAGTGTATGTGGTGTGCGGCGCACCCCATCGACGCTCACAACAGCTGGTTGGTCTCCTTCAATACCGCTGGTCATCAGCATTTCGTCTGCACGTCGTCATCGTCACCCGCTAAACACATAAATTGTTGTATAAAATGCAGAAACTTTACTGCCGTTGAAAGCCATGGACTCCCACTCGGTGCCACCACGACTCTCGAGCCAACAATGAGCAATCACTCACGCGCTCACATTCACCGCTGCACCATCATCCACACCAATTGCTGTGGTCCATTGTCTACGAAGCTGCTCATCGACATTACACCGACCGACCAGTGGCCTCTATATACCTCTTTTTTAAGACTCTGCCATCACACACGCACACATGCAGACATATTTTCGTTAATCGAAAGCTTGCAGACGAACTTGCCGAGGCTGTCATGAGCCCACATATGAACGCATACATACATACATGCATACGCCTTCGTCTCCAAGCTGTCGAAGCTCTCCAGCGTATTGTATGCTGTCGATTTTGCTGTTATTTTATTGTTTCTATTGTTGTTATTAACGTTAGAAATTCTATTCTCTTGTTACTGTACGCGCTGATTGCAATGGAATAACAAAAAATATGCACCTTTATGTTGAAATACATTCGTTTGCGAGCACAGTACCCAACACGCCATACTTCGCCGGCTTTCATGCATAGATCTTGTGGGCTGAAGTTACTCACATATATATTCTTTAAATCAGAACATATAGTAAATATAAATTTAAAATTAAATCGAATTTAATCGAAGTATCATAAATTATTTGTATATTATTTTAAATAAACCATTTTTACACTGAGCTTTCTCTCACGATTTCATTAGTTTAGAGTATACCCGAAACTTTTAGACTTATGACACTTTATTTCGAAGCCCAGATCCTACATACATTTGATGTGAAACTCGACCAAAACTTCGCTCGCAGCGATTAAGCCATGTACAATGAGGAAAAGATAGGTTCTGGATAGTGCTGCTCTGCCCGTGAGAGACCGTGAAAATAATAACAGTATCTATCCGCTCCAAATTGGTCAACTAGTCAGTAAATATTAAACCGATATCCTTTTTATTATTATATTATATTTTATTATATAATTTTTGCATTGATCCACATCTGGTGTAAAAGAGCTTGAATAATAACTATATTAAAATTATGGTTCAAATCGGTAAACTAGTTCACAAAAATTTTTAGCATATATTATATTTGACGATTTCCTGCTTATTGTCTAATTTTTTAACCAGATTCACACCGGGTCAATGTGTCGGGCAACTAATTACAGTACTCTCAGTTGATGACCTAAATTATAATATGTTATATTTTTCGAATAACATAGTTTTGTTAATATATCATTGATCCAAACCCGTCCATGTCCAATATCAACCAGGGTACCAAGTAGAGGACCAACGTCATCGAAATATGTCATTTTCGCACGAGAAAACTGGCAGGCAGGCAACACGTCGTATTCCCCGCCAGATCATTTCGATATACTTGTAGATTTACTGTAGCCAAATAAATAGTTGGCTTGTTACAAAAAGCCGTTAGGTGAACAGATCCACAATCTGTATATATCTGTCGAGAAATTCTGAAAATATTTAGAAGAAGAATAATGAGAAAAAAAGCGTTTTAATTTTTCCTTGTCTAAGGGTTTTAAGCTCAGCTGGACAAGGATATTGTACAATTTATTTCTTTTTAGGTTAGATTAGGTTTAGTTAGATTTGCGTGACGAAAGGCGATAAGGATCTCATTGGAACAGCTTAAGACGTTGAGCCGTTGTGTAACCTTAGATGTTGAAAGTATTGAACACACCCTCATAAATCGACAAAGCCTGTCACAGATTCATTAAGGTTTAGCCGCCTCAGTTTCGTCTATCTCTTCTGGTTCGCCGAAAGTTTGACTGTCGAGTTGTTTCAACCCCAATCTTACAAAAGATTAACTGAGAAGAAAGTGCCGGCAAGATGAACTTTACTAGGTAGTTCCTGCATTCTTTTCTAGGTCAGGTTTATCTTGCAGTCACACAGAAGCTGTTTATTGAGCAACGCTTGTTATTTAGGAAACACTAAATTGGACCAAGCCTCGAATTTGGAAACTTTTTAGCCTAAAATAATTTTATGCACATTTTTAAAAAATAATCCAAAAACATTTTAAATTCCGAGATAATTGTTGCCTTAAATAAAAACAAGAAAATCGTTAACTTCGGTTGCATCGAATCATAATACACTTCACAAATTCAAAAGCTTCCATAAAAGAACTTGATTTTTGATCAGTCAGTTTGTATCGCAGCTATATGCTATAGTAGTGCGATCTGAATTTTTTTTTCGGAGATTGTACCATTGCCTTGGACAATAATCCATTTCAAATTTCGTGAAGAAAATCTTTAAATAAAAAAGTTTTCCAAACAAGGAAGCAGCTATATGCTATAGTGGTTCGATATCAGTAGTTCCAAATCGATATCTCAAAAACTGGGGAACTAGTTCGCGTATATAAAAGACAGACGGTCAAGGCTAAATCAGATGATATACGATATTCAACTCCACCCTCATGTGGACCATTTGTCAATTACCAACTCTTAACAATATTACAGGGTGCACCATTCCACATGCACATTTTATGTTGCATCCAACACTCCGCAAACGCACAAATAAATATATATATAAAATGTGTGTGTGTATTTATAAACATATTTTTTCCGCTGCAGCATGACGCGACATTTATTTTCTCAACCGTTAGATATTTTCCAGCTAACGCCTGTGAAGTGCACTTTTGGGTGGGCATGAAAGCACACTTGCTTAGCCAATTTACGCGACCATGCAATATGCAAAACAAGCGCGCACATACGCATGTATTTGTGTGCATCTTTGCCGGCACTGCGCCACCCCCGCCCCCTTGGTTATTGCACTTCATCTCGCCATGTCTACGCTTTGGTGATATTTTATTGTCGCGTTATTTGTGCATTTATTCCACTTTGCTTTTTATTCATCTCGCAATTCCGAAAGCCGCCCTCCCTACCTTCCTTCGGTTGACATGTTGAGGGCAGTGCAACATTTGGTTAATGCAATATTCTCAAAGCTGCTCCCACACACACCAGCTCTCTTTCACACACTCACTCATATGCAGCTAAATAGGCTTAACGACACTTTTCACCGTTAGTCACCATACGACGACCGCTGTTGCATGCGACTTCAATGCAAAAAGGACATTGGGGCTTATGCCTGCGCCCAAACACACATACACACACACATACACGCATATGCATATACTATATGTATGCAAAGGAATGCCACACAGTATTCATAGTTGCCACAGCTTAGCTTAGGGGAGCAAATGCGACATTCGCTGGCGATTTTCGTCATATTCCGCACTTTGCTTATCCCCTTCGCCCACCATTCGGCGCAGCGCATAACATAACAGCGCATGACATGGCATTGCAGACGCTTTTATGCGAGTTTACATTTCTATAAGGGATCTTTTGACCCTTCTAGTCAGGCTTACTTGCTCTATGACGCCGCCACCGGGGGAGGTTGTGTAAGTGGGTGGTGATGTAAAGTACCGTTGCATCAGCGTTTATGTCGATTTTATTTATCTACTTGTGCCAATAATGTTGTTTTTGCTGTTGTTGTTATTGTTGCTAATGCAATTTTGTCGGGATATGTGTTTTGCATATAACATCTCGTTGCAATATTAATGATGCTAGTCAGGCGGCGACATTCGAATCAGACAAAAAATATGTGGCCATACGTTAGCATCTATATATATATATATGCTTTAAGTACAAAATACGTAATATATGTACAAAATAAATTTACATATGCACATACATGAGATCATACAAAGCATTCTTGGACGCTGTGGGCAATATTATTAGGCTTAGTTCGATAATAAACAACAATTTTCTTTTCATCGCAAATTCAAAGCTTTCGGTATGTTGCAAGCACAGAATACGACCCGACGCTAGCTATTGTCTGTCGGCATGGCACCGGTATTAGACAGCAGTTTTGTGATATTGGGTCGAAGACGGAACGTGAGTTGTGACAGTACGGCTGCCTTTAAAATATATTCTTTAAGAGTCACGTACTTCGTTTAAAAGGTCCAACTGACTGATAAAAGTAAATCGCAGGTTTTTGGAGCTGCTACAAACGCACAAAAATTTCCTTAGAAAAGTCATATTTCCTACCCACAAAAGAGCTAGCAAAGCATTGAAGAAGCATCATCTCGAAATGCGACGACAGAAAGAGAACGATAAACTCTCTCTCTAGAACGTTTCCCAGCATTTCGTGGGCAGAAGATTCAGTAGAACAGTAAGTATCGCTGCAATAGCATCAAATGAATTTAAATCTCTAACGAGTTTTGATGTGGAGAAATACTTATTACTCCATAATAATAGGATATCTGTTGATGGATGTATAAAGTAAAATAAGATTGCCTCTTTAGCGTACAAAGAGTGTAAAAAATGCGGTAAGCGGAGATGGAGTTGAAACGCCAATCGATTTCACTATTGAAAGTTACAACCTAAAAATTCAAATTAACCTTTCCAACAATGTTTTCACCTTTTATACGATCTTTGAAAAACTCTCCGACAGTAGCAGGAGAGCACGTGCTTTTCAAGTGGTAGTTAGAATAAGAAGTAAATTCCACGGATCCTTCTTTGCGAAAAACGAGCTCCTTGTACTTTACTTTACTTTAAGCTATATTCTTTAGTTCCTAAACGTCTTTTAATCTATTTCAACATATTCTACACATTTTTGATGAATTGATTCACTTGAATATAAATAAGTAAATACCAACAATTAAGATATCGGTATAAACCATTGCATAATTAGTGCCTTGAAAGTGTAGCAACTCTCATCAGAAATAGTCGAAACTGGAGTATAACTTTTCAAGCCCCAGCTACCGAATATAAGAAGCTCTGTGCATACAATGACTTTATTCCGAAATTATTGATCGAGTTTTGGGAGTAATAAAATGTATAGGGCATCTTTTTATGATTACATCATGCTCTGGCAGCCAATAATGGAAACAATCGATTCAATGCCTCCCTCAGCCACTATACACTTAATAAAAGTATTTCCAAACTTTAGCTTTATACCGATTTTATTGCTTAATATGTAAGATATCTTAGTTAAATGAACTAATTTTGGATGTACAGTGCGTTCAAAAAATTACGTTTTCCCTTTCACACATTCAATGTGTGGAAAAGTGCTTTTACTTTATGCAAATAAACACACGTCCAATGCGATTACTGATGCCTAGAATTCGGTCACTTTTTTACAAAGTTCTTAATGTGCCACGTCGAGCCGTAAAATAAGAAAAATTAGTGTTCAGTATAAGAAACGTTTTGAAACAGCCTTTCCAACGAAGCGAACTAAAAGTTTCAAATAGACTATTAAAACAATCCGCAAAGTATTTAAAGTCGGGTTGTATATACATACATATGTGAAGAGGTGATCAGACCATTGTTCTGCTTTTTGAAAAGGAACGAACCACTGCTCAATCTTCAGACTTCAGAGATCTGGCATCAAACGCAGCAGTACGGTATAAAAATTTAATCACGATTGATGATACTGCAAGAAAACAATGACCCAAAAAATAGGACCAGACGCTGTACTCAATGGAAATAAGAAAAACATATTGTTACTTTAGATTGGACATTACAGTTACCAAACGCCAATCCAATTGAAAATGTCTGGGCTTTGATCAAAGCCACAATATCAATGAAATATTTAACGTCAACAAAAGATTTCATTCGGTTATTCCTACATACCTAGAGTTCATTTCCCGTGGAATATGCGGCATTAAGGCATTATCCAGATCACCATCTACTAGATATACTTGTACTAATTTTCGTTATTTTAATCGACTTTATGCCGAATATATCTATTAATTTATAAGATATCTTAATAAAAGTGCGTGTTTTCTGACATGCTTTCGTCTAGAGACAAAAGTAAATGAAATCAGTTCACACCTTCAGCTGGCACTAATATACCCAATAAATTGATTAGTTTTGTTAGTTGCTTTTCGCTCCTTTGGTTGTTTTTAATTGATTCGTATTTTCGTCATATAGAGCATTTTGACTTCATTCATAACGTATTTTATCAAAAATGTGTGCAGTTGATACCAAATGCAAGAGTTATCAGAACGCAGACGCCGTCTCAGAAGCGTGCGACTCTTACTTACCTACTTGTGCTTACTTGTAACTTTCGTGCTTGAATATTAACAACACAAATATTTTATAAGTCAAAGAATAGTTTGTATACCTATAATCTTTAATTATGTATGCCTTTTTTATTTATATATGTACACATGTATTTTATCATGAAACTTTGTGGCCAATAACAATGTCTTGGGTGGGTGATGCCGCCTTACTGGTAACCGCAACGCCTAAAATGTGACCAATTATAAAATATATTTCTTTTTTACTCACATATAGATAAAAACTAAACAACAAAAACAACGTGAAACGAATACGCCTATTAGTTAGACAATTGCAAAATCAACAAAGACAACTTTATTTAGCACAAATGTTTAAATATATATTCGTATATATAGCTATATATATATATGTATATATCAACTCATATATGCCTG